GCCAAACGGAGAACGTTAAGCGGTCCCGAGCCAAGGCGCGCGGCCGAAGACTCCGAAAATCAGAAACTAGTCTCCAAACGAGAAAAGTAGTCTACGACCACAAAGAGGTGGTCTACCAGACCTCTCCCTCCCTTCAGGGAAGAGAAAAAAAGGCTTGGTCCACAAACCGAGCCAAAACACAAAGAGTTCAGAGGCCCAGAGGCAAGGCATTCAACCAAAATCTTTAGAAACTCGAAACGAACACAAACATGCATAATCATCGAGCGCTCAATCGATGACATCTGAGTCTTAAGCTCGGTCAAAAATGGGGTGTCTACACTAGGTGTAAAGAAGCTGTTTACAATAATTTTTAGAATTTATTTTCGTTGATCAAAACTAATTTGCCCCTATTATAAAAACACGCAAAACATTATTTGAAGAATATAAGGCAGCTGCATCTACAAATACACCTTTACACACTACACCAACAGCCTCATCTTAAGGCAGAAGATTAAGTGTTTTTTGTGAAATTAAAAGTAGAAGAATATCTCAACATACAAGCGTAAATAGTTTTGAACTACAACGTTATTTGGAAAGCCCAGTAGTGGATGATTTCGAAAATTTTGACATTTTGGATTGATGAAAAAAAAAAAAACTTTGTGACTTGTGCTTTCGCAGATGACCTGTGATATACTAAGCGTTCAATTTCTATAGTTGCTTTGGAAATAGCTTTTAATGCAAGTGGATGAGCGCTGAGCGATTACCACAGTAGGCTTTCGCCCTAAATGGTTGGGGCACTGATGATATCGAGAGGTCATATGCATGTACGTACGAAAAGACAAAATTATAGTGAAAATGAGATAATTCAAACCGATTTAGATGAAATATCCTCAAGCAACGCGAGTGAATTGTCTGTTTCTTTCGTTGATTGATCAAGAATTTATTTTTCACTATTTCATTTCTTTATTTTTGTTGTATTAGATTATTGAGGTGGAATATAATGCAAATGATTGGTAGACTAGTAGGTGCCAACCTTGTTGGGATGTACTTGACCTATAGTGATACAATTGCTCTACAATCATCAATAATCTACATCTATTTTATTTAATGATATAAATTTTTGTAATATTTTATTTCATTTTGAAATAAAAATTATTCATTCAATAAATATTATCTATTTAATATAATGATTGTAATATTGCAAGTTTCATTTTGATATATATAAAATTATTCATTTCAAAAGAGAAAAACTACATAATTTCATACTTCTGTAGTTATAAGTTCATAACTAAAAAAACATAAATCAGACATAATTGAATTTAAATACCACCGCATACAAAACATAACCAAGCATCCCATTAATTTTAACTAAAATAATTTAGTATGATTTAAAAAAAAAAAAACCCCCGCTAGGCTCGGTCGGCGGACCCTAGGCCCTATTCTAAGTGGGCTAGGGCCCCACTTTTTGGCTCGCGGCCCGGCCTGGCCCGGCGTAGCCTGACAAAAGGGCGAGAGCCCGCACGACCTGCCATGGACTGGCCCAAGCCTAGGCCCAGGTGCGCCAGGCCCAGGTGGACCAGGTCAGGCCATATTTACACCCCTATCTCCAGCTAGCATTAATAATACATTTACTCTTGGAATTAATCTAAGTTTGTTCCACTGCATTCCAAATTTTGTGTGTTTAAACGTTCTTATCATGAATAAAGAACAAGTCATTGAATTGTAAACGCTGCTTGGGACAAATCATTTTTAGACAAAACAATAATAACAATTCTAAGGTTTGGTCTGAAATGGTCCTCTTGAAATCACACTTGACCATTTCTTACACACAATACAAAAAAATTCTGGGTTGATATTATAATCCTGTTCTAACTATAAGCGTGCCGGCTCACCTCTTTTTTTCCATATAATCACAATGGTTTAATCTGAAATTATTAATATACTTATCGTTAACGATCTGTTTACAGATTGAGTTGTCAATCATGACGCTTTTATTCTTTGAGACGGCTGATTATAAAAATAAAAGTAATAATAATAGAATTAGTGGAATTTACATTTTTTTGTCTATATATAGGATCTTGAGATTCACTTGTTTCATCACTCGAATTGACTCATTTCTTGATCTTAATCTTGTTCTTGATTTCTTCAAAATATATATTTATTATAAGCTAAGTTTGTTTTGAAAATGGAAAAACATATGGTTTTGTTGAGTTTGGTGGCTGTTCTTAGTTTCTGCTGCATTGCCTTTGCATATGAGCCTGCACCCCTTCAGGATTTCTGTGTTGCAGACCTTAACAGCCCAGGTATTGCATTTAGGCCACGTTTGGCAAAAAATTATGGGCAGCTTTGTAGCTTTTAAGTTTTGAAAATGTTTATTGTGGGCAGTTGTAATTCGAAAATATTTGGTGTTTTTTCTTTGTTTTTTTTGGTACAGTTTTTCAAGTTTTCAACTAACTTCTTGTTTTTCAGCTCAATTTAGATTAATAAAAATTATATTTCAAAAAATAAAATAAAATAAAAGGTTTGTATTGCTATTTATTTTTATTTTTTTTAACTAACAAAAAATTTTCCAAATGTTTGTTGGCAGCAAAAACTCGTTACATCTCTAATACCATGTATAAATTCTAAAAGAGTAATGTTATATAAATTAATAAATTTTATATATTCTTTGAAGTTACGTCTATCATTTTATTTATAATTAGGTGATATTTAAGATTCCAAAATTTTTTTACTACATGTCACGTCTATGAGTGAGAAATTTTATAAATTTTGTGGATTTCTACAATATTGTCCATTCCAAAAACAATCATGGAATAATAGTTAATTACACAATCAGTACAATTTACATGACAATGAACTATATATTTTGCTTCTAATTGTTCTATTTGTTGGCAGTGACAGTGAATGGCTTTTCCTGCAAGAATCCCATGATGGTTCAAGCCAATGATTTCCTCTTTAGAGGTTTCAACATTCCAGGGAACACATCAAACCCTGTAAGGTCTAAAGTCTCCCCAGTGACAGCGGCTCAACTACCAGGACTCAACACGTTCGGTATTGCAATGGCACGTGTCGACTATCTTCCAGGGGGCGTCAATCCTCCTCACTACCACCCTAGAGCCTCTGAGATCTTCACCCTTATAGAAGGCTCTCTCCTTGTTGGTTTCGTTACTACAAATCCCGAGAACCGCCTCATCAGCAAGGTTCTTCAAAAGGGTGATGTTTTCGTCTTCCCAAAGGGACTTATTCACTTCCAGCTGAATTTGGGGAATGAAAAAGCACTAGGAATTGCTGCATTGAGTAGTCAAAACCCGGGAATCATGACCGTAGCAAATGCAGTTTTTGGATCGAATCCGCAGATTTCTAGTGAAGTTCTCACCAAGGCATTCCAAACCGACAAAAGCGTAATCGATCAAATTCTGTCGAAATTCTAAGGGGGCAACAAAAATCAAGTCATGGCAACGTGAACTTAGTCTATTAGTGTATTTGTTGTAGTCTTGTGTGGTTTCATTATGTTTCTTTGTTTGTTTGCTTGATGTTAATGTTTCAATTATTTGATTCTATAAAAAACAAATAATTCAATAAATAAAAAGTAAAATTTATTCAAGAGTACGGTTCCATTGAGCTTCATTACTAATATTATATATAGAGTTGGATTTCTTTCAAGTTCAAATACAAATTTAAGAAGGTCCCGTAAAACTTATTATCAGTCTTGTGTCGATAATTCAAACCATTTATTTTGTAAGTTCTTAATGTATATCACACAGCCGACTTTGGCTCAAAGCCAGCAAAATTACTGCTTTGGGCCCTCAGAAATTGATTAAAAAGAAAGGCCTCAAAAAAAAAAAATTCGCTATTATATTAGTCCCCACACACACAACAAAACACACACAAAAAAAAAGCATATAAATTTAAAAGGGCCCGGACAAAGTTTGTTGAGATTCAAAACTAATAAATAGTTTGATGTAGTGAACTACTTAAAACTATTGAATGATTGTTTTAACTCAAAAAAATAAAAAATAAAAAAATAAAAGAAAAGAAAAAAGAAAAAAAAAATGAGGATTGTATGGTGAATTATTTCAAATTAATGGTTGATTATTTCCCAAATAAATGATTTTTTGTATAGAATACAATTAATTATACAAATTATAATTATTTCTTAAAAAAAAAAACTTTTCAAATTTAAATTGATTAAATCTTCCCTTCGATCAACTAAGTTAATTGAATGGATTAACAATGATAAGTTAGATTATGCGGATTTATCTTGTGTTTTGTGTAAAGTAGAGCCAGAATCTTTGAACCATATTTTGCGATGGTGCCCCTCCGTGTGGCAGGTATGGTCAAGTATAATTGATTGGTAGGGGTTGTGTTGGGCAATGCCAGGGTCTGTTGATGGCTTGTTACAATGGTGGATGGGTTGGAAGTTCCAAAAAGAAGATGAGGCATGTTTGGAGAGTGCTAGCAGTTGCCATGATTTGGTCTGTGTGGTTATAAAAGAATGATTGCATCTTTTCTGGTACCCAACCAATGATTGAGGTACTGTGTGAGACAATCAAAGTTAGGATGGCGCTTTGGATGAAAGCTCATGATATTGGTTGCAAATATTCTGTTAATGAAATTGTGTGGAGCTTTCAGCAGGTGAAGAGGTGTATCTGAGATTTGCTTATTGCAGGGGTGAAGCAGAGAAAGTGTCAATCTGCGGATGGCTGCTGGTATGGATTTGCTGGTGCTTTACTTGGCTTGGTCTGTAGTGTCCTGTTATCTCGATTTTGCTGGTTGGGTTGTGTGATAAGAAATGCAGTTTTTCGATCAAATCCACACAAAAATACATAAAAATACAAACAAAATAATTAATAAATACAAAATGTTTAAACTTTTACTGAAATAGAATTAAAAATAAAATATAATCTGAAAGCCAAAGTATTAACACCAAAGCAAAATCAAAGTTTAAAACCATCATCCTTTACGACTAAATCACAAGTCTATCAAGTAGAGTTAAAACAAAAAATTAAAAACAACATAAACCTCTGATATAGCTATATAGGCATAATAATAGTAAAACTTAACTCAAGCACATATGAGTGGCAAACTAACAGCTTATCACATTGCTAATATCTATTGTCAAACTTGAAATATTTAAGAAAAAATAAACAATTAAGTGAATCAACTGAATTTTATACTCAACTAACTTCATTATATATTTAATATATATTATGTTTAATATGCAAAACTTTCGGTCGGTTTCGGTTTAATTTGGTGCACAATGTGCCTAAATCGGTTTCGAACCAAAGATCAAAAAAAATTAATATTAAAAACCGCACAAATTAATTTATATTAAAAAACCAACCAAATGTAATCGGTTTGGTTCGGTTCAACTAGTTTGGTCGGTTTTTTCGATTTTTCTTATATCCTTACCCACAATAAATCACCACAAAGTAAGGGTGTAACTCAGGCGGATTCAGACGGATTGAGAGATTGTTCAAGCCTAACCCAAGTTGTATTGAGAGCTACCCAGACCCCTGTTGAGCGTATTGATGCAATAAGTTCTAGTTCAGCTTCAGCTCCAGCTTTAGCTCTGAACTCAGATTCAATTGCAGATCCACGTGTAACTGCTTCAACTGTAATTCCATCTCATCAAATCTGTTAGAAGATGGTTATAACTAACTAAAACAGAGCATGTGTGGATTGTATCTTGAGAGGATGTAAAGTACAATATATAGGAGATGTATGACTCTATTTTGTATATTCTTGAATAATAAAAAATATAAAGTATTGATTCATGACTTTTTTCATGGTATCAGAGCTCTTGGCTTCTTCAACTCCAAGTTCTTTCTCTTCTTTCATGGTTTCTACTTCTCTTCCTCCGAATCTCTCTTTGTTGATTTCTAATCTTTCCTCGTTTATCACAATTAAACTTGATGCCTCAATTTTTTTGATCTGGAAAAATCAAATACATAATATTTTGGCTGCAACTAGTCTTCTGGGCTTCATGTCCACAAATGAAAATTACAAATACTTCTGGTTCAGAGATTGTTAATCCTGCATATCTGTAGTAAAAGATTGTTGATGCTCACTTGCTCAGTTGCATTACTGTAACTCTCTCGCCTATAATCTATATTCATTTGTTCTTCATCTTGATAATTGTTGTTCTTCATCTTGATAATTGTTCTGAAGTATGGACTACACTACATAAATGATTCACCTCTCTCTCTCTCCATCTCATGTTCATCAGTTAAAGAACAAGTTAAACAGTATTACGAAGAAAACTAATTCAATGGAGGATTATCTGTCTAAGATCAAAGATCTAGTGAGTCAACTGGATCTTACTTCAGCCTTTCTTGATAACGACGATCTTGTTCTTCTTACCTTGAATGGTCTTCTAGATGAGTATGATGCCTTTAAGACCATAATTCGTTCTAGATCCGAATCTATTTCTATGGATGAACTGACTTCTCTTCTCATTTCTGAAGCCATACATGTTGAATCTAAACATCATAAGCTCCATACTAAGCCTACAGTGGCCTTTTCTTCTGTTCGCGGTTCTTCAATTTCCAATCACAGAGGTCATTCTTCTAGATTCAAAGGTCAATCTTCCAGAGGAGGTCGAGGTGGTCGATCTCATGGATTGAATTCATTCAATAACTATTTCAATTTCTCAGGTGCTCAAACTGTTTCCAGTTTTTCCAAATCTCATAATGGCCGAGGTTTTTCTAGATGCAGAGGCAGATCTGCTTCTTCTCTGACTTATCAAATTTGTGGTGGACATGGTCATTCTGCATTGGATTGCTGGTATAGAATGGATCCACAGTTTCAATCTTCTAGCCATTAGCAAAATAATTCTACTTCTAGAGCTTTTGTTGCCTCAACTCAGTTAGCTTCTTCTCCTCCACATGCTCCTTGGTACTTAGACTCTGCTGCTATAGGTCATATCACTCATGATCTGCGTAATCTTAGTTGTTTGCAGCCCTATCAAGGATCTGATCAAGTCACCATAAGCAATGGTACTATAGTCCATATTCACAACACTGGTAAAGGCTTGCTTCATACTCCTCATTTTTCTTTTAAATTGAACAATATTTTGCATTCTCCTTCTATCTCTTCTAATCTTGTTTCAGTTCACAAATTAACTAAGGATAATAATTGCCTTGTCACTTTTCATGCCTCTAAATTTGTGACTTAGGACAAGGATTCGAGGCGAATTCTTCATCAAGGTTCTAATACCAATGGCCTATATTAGTTCTATACTAGTTCTTCATATGTTGCTGGTGTTCCACCTATTTTGTATGCTTACTTTAGTGCATCTCATAATTCTACATCTGTGCCTTCCTTTGTTTGGCATAATAGATTAGGTCATCCATCTTTAGTGAAGTTTAATCATCTCAAGCCTTGTTTGGCTATTTCTAATAATACAATAAACACTGTTTGTATTGATTGTTGCACAGCTAAGAGTCATAGACTCCCATTCCAATTGTCCAATTCCACTGTAATGCACCTCTTTCTCTTATTCACAGTGATGTATGGGGGCCATATACTTCTAGGTCTTGTTACAAATATTATTTGCTTTTTGTTGATGACTACAGCAAGTTCACTTGGCTTTATCTATTAGCCTATAAAAGTGAAGTGTATGATAAATTCATTGAGTTTAAGGCTTATGTTGAGAAACAGTATTACCTCATTTGCAAATCCTGTGAACCAATGGAGGTTCAGAATTTTTTACCTCTAAAATGCAAACATTTTTGAGAACTCAAGGTGTTGTTCATCAACTCTCTTGTCCTTACACTTCTTCTCAGAATGGCATTGTAAAGAGAAAGCACAAGCACGTTATTGAAACTGCAACTGCTCTTTTTCATCATTCATCTGTGCCATTGAAATATTGGTTTGATGTTGTAGCCATTGCTACTTTTCTTATAAATAAAATGCCATCCTCTAAACTTGGTCATAAATCACCATTTGAAATGCTTTTTCAATCCATTCCAGATTATTCCTATTTTTTAATTTTTGGTTGTCAATGCTTTCCTTGGCTTAAGCCTTAGCATCCACACAAATTACAACCAAAATCTGTGTCTTGTGTTTTCCTTGGCTACCATCCTTTTACTAAAGGACATCGATGCCTTGATCCTCTCACAGGTAGAATCTACTTGTCTAGACATGTAATCTTTAATGAACATATTTTTCATTTTGCTTCCTCATCATCTTCTTCGTCTTCTTCACAGTATACATCACCATCTTCTCTTGCTGCCATACAGTCATTTTTCTGGTCTTCACCCTTGCAGTCTTCATTCTTTTCTTCTAAGCCTTCAGCTTCAGTTCATTCATTTTCCCACAATTCTGATTCTCCTTCTGTTTCTTCTTCTTCTTCTCTTCCATTAGCTTTCTCCATTAGTGTTTTCTCCACAAGGTCTTACGGTTCCTATTACATCCATTGGTGTTGATTTACCTTTTTCACCTCCTCCACCTATGCCTTCTAATAAGCATCCCATGGTTACCAGATCTAAGTCCACAACTACCCCTTACTATTTGGTTACTACTTGTTCCTCCTGTGCTTCACTCTACTCCGACTCAAAACCACCTTCTTACAAAGAAGTTTTGCTCTCTCCTATTTGGCATAAAGCTATGCTTGAAGAATTTTCTGCTCTTCAGAAGCAACAAACTTGGTCCCTAGTTCCTCTTCCATGTGCCAAAAATGCCATAGGATGTAAATGGGTTTTCAAAGTTAAAAAGAACTGGGATGGCACAATTGCTAGGTACAAAGCTCGGTTAGTAACCAAAGGGTACCTGCAGCAAGAGGGTATTGACTTTCATGGAACATTTAGCCAAGTGGCTAAGCAACCAACAATTAGAATTCTCCTTTGTCTTGCCTTTCACCACAATTGGTCTCTCAA